CCGCCGGGGAGGGCAGGGGAGGCGGACATTGTCCGTGTGGTCGGGAGGGAACCGGGGTGGCGTGGCGCGGCGCGGGGGGCACCTGCCGCCCGGGTGGGGCGGCTCCTGCCCCTCGTGAAAGGCGCGAGCACACGCCGTACCTGCCCAGGGCAGCGCCGTCGTTGCTGCCACCTCAGTGTTTTTGCAGCGGTGCCCCGCCAGGATCTGCGTTTGCTATCCTCGCCCCTCTTCGCGGGGCTGTCGCCGGCGACATCTGCTAGCAGTGAGTAGGTGACAGAAGTCAGCGGACTGGTTTTATGGACCGGGCGAGACTTGGGTTGAAAAGTCTCGGAGCAGAAAGGAGCCCACAGCAGGGTATCGGACGCTTAAGAAGTGTACCCGGACTTGGCTGAAATCCGAACAACCGATGTGAAAACGATGGGTGTCGGCGTCTGGAAATGAAACGCTCCGTCCGGCTTTCCCTGAAACGTTGTCTCGACGTGCCGAAGCCCTGGTGGTACGAAGTGATAGGGAGGTGCTGGCAAGTATGGACAAGGGATAAGAAGTGAAACTGCAGAGGGTAGTCATGGTAAACTGTGGCATGGGGGAAAAGTAAGGGTTTTTAAAAAAAACAAACAAAAACAGAACAGGCCTACTAGAGACAAACAAACTTTGTAAACCCTAATGCCCGTTTTTGAGACTTGCACATGGTTGTGGGAATAGCCAAGAAAGAAATCTGGTTCTGTCACATCTCCATCTATAATAATCTTGGTGACTAAAAAAAAAAAAAGCCATTGATTTCTTTCTCCATCTTGGTATTATTTTCAGATTCTTTCCCCGTCTGCTTGTTTGGGAATAGGAAAGCAGCAGGTGTTGATATAACAATTAGAGCCTTTGCGCATAACAGCTGCTCTAAAGTTTGTTTTCTGTTTTCTGGTCATCTATAAAATCATTCATTGCCTTGTCTTTTGTGTTTTGTTAATGACTGTGAAAGGGCAGGCTTGTAGTACGCTGGTTAGACTACCACTGGGATCCAGTTCTAATCCCCAACTCGCAGTATGATCTTGGAAAATCTCTGGGCCATCTTGCATCTAAGTGCCGCTACAGTGAAAAGAAGGATTTGACTGTAAGCTATATGCTGCACTGGATCGGAGTTTGCTTTGTGGACATGTTGACTCTTCATGTGTGTCACTTTTTTTTTATTTACTAAATTTTAGATGCACACAAAATATGCAAGTTCTTCGAATGTACGGGAAGATGTGGCCTTGGTTCCCAGTATCATATGTACAAAGCTACATAACGTGCTGACACCACTGAATGAAGCTAAAACATGTAGACAAATCAAAAGGGAATATAATGAAGGGAGAGAGTAGTAGGACAGCATAGCCCTGCAATAGAGAATAGGCTTGTAAGGTTCAATATGTTTTAGAGTTAAATGATGTATTTTAATAATATTAGGAAGTTGGCATGTCTGAGGAGATTTGTGGGCATATTTTTTCATCCTGGAGATCTGCCCCAGGCTGACTTTTTTGAATGTTTCAGCTAAATTTTATTATGGTTAGAGTATAGTATGCTTTTTTTGGTTGGGGATTTTTAAAATATGTTTAAAAATGGAACTGCTTTATTGAGAAGTTCCTTCTGAGAAGTTGAATTTTTTGGGGGTGTCATTTTGCATGAGAATGTGCCTATCTGATAAAAAAAAAAAAAAACCCGAAACAAACAAAAACTGTGGGGGGGTGGGAATTGTTCTTTGTTTTTTTGGGTATTTTTTTTTTAAAGCTTATAACCACAAGATAGAGATGGTAGCTGAGCCCAGGTTGCAGAACTGAAGGTCCAGGTGTCAGGCATAAATGGCCTGCTGCTGATCTTGTGCTGGTGTGTAACTGCTTACAGATTGAGACTACAACAATATTCCCAGACACTGTTTATACAAACATGCTGTCTCTACACATTAGCAAGAAAAAATATGATGCGATAGCAAGCAAATAGCTCATCTGAAATATTATTTTATTAATTTAAAATATTAGACATCTGGTAATAGAAAATAGTATCTTCAGAGCATGGTATACATTCACAATATTTTTTCTATTAATTCTGACTTTTAGTTAATGAAAGAACACTTTTGATACCCTAAAATCAAATCAAGTAATAAAAGTTCCCCTCCCAAGTAAGCAGGCAATGTGCAGACAACTGCAAAGTAGTTCCAAATTAATATACCTTCAGAGTTTGACAGTTAAAAGTAACAAAGAACCTCAATCCTGTGTAGATGTATGTTGATGCTTTAACTGTGTTCCTGTGAGTAGCCCCCCTTGGAGGCAGTGACACTGCTTGCACATGTAAGTGTTTATAGGACTGCTACCGGAGTCAGAAAATTATAAAATAAAAATGTGGGCTAGACTGTGCAGCTGGATCTATACAGGCAAAATTTCTTTTCTTATACAGGACCTTTTGACTTGACTGGAACTCTGTAGGAGCAGGGCCCATCATCCATGGACATCCAGTTGCAGGTCTGCATCTGGTCCTGAGATCCTGACAGTGTAGCTAGCTTAGCTGTCCTGTGCTGTGCACAGGTGGTGTTTTCTGTTCTTGTTTCTTCTGGTTAAATTTTTACATTCTTTTAAAAAATCAAAACAGGTTTATCTTATTCTGTTTACACTGGACCATAGTAGCAGACTAGGGAAAATGCAAAACAAAGACAGTGCCTTCAAGTTAACATTGCTACCTGAATTCTGAATTTCCTTTTTGTGACTTTAAATGTTCCTTTAGCATTCATTAATATTTAATTATCTTAATTTTCCAATTAGACTTTAATATTCCACCCTTTGAAATCCAAAATCACGTAACTTATTATTCCATGTGTGTAATAAGAAAGAGAAAGGGGTATATAAATAGTAGTTCCTAATTATTTTGTTCTTTGGTGGCCACTTATTTTGACAATATGCTATCAACAATTAATTTTATTCATATTACTGAAATCAGCGTGGATATCAATAATATGTAGTACAGGAGAACCTCGCTATTTGTGGGGGACACGTACCAGAGATCCCCATGAATGGTGAAATCCACGAATACTGACGGGGCTCCCTGTCAGGCCCCACAGCTGACCCCTGCTTCCCTGTAGCACCTGGGGACCGACCCCTTCCCCACAAGTGCCACCGTGGCTGTTCCGAGTGCTGCTGCGGCTGCCTCCAGCAGCGGTGGCAGAGAAGCTGCTGCTGCCACTGCCTCCCTCCCCATCCCTGGGGCTCCCCCATAGTACCTGGGGACCAGCCCCTTCCCCTGAGTGCCATCGCGGCTGCCTCCAGGAGGGAGAAGATGCTGCCACCCCTGCCTCTCTCCACGTCCTTGGAGCTCGCTCTCTGTCTGACTCCTGGCTCTGCCCTCCCCTGCGAATATTTGAATCCGCGAACCCGGGGCTCATGAATAGCAAGGGTTTCCTGTACCACCTTTTACATACCCAAGAGAGATGCATATACTACTTAAATATGTTTTCTAATAAGTTCATGTGTTCTAGTATCAACTCAGTGGTTTGTAACTTATTAGCAGTACATTCAATTATTGCAAAGGTATAGGTATTGTTTTCAATCTGTGCTGGACTGAGCTGTAAAACAGGTGCTTTTTAATATGGCAAAATATTGGGCTTGGATCATGGCCATCCATGATCAGGCTTTTGAGTGATGATCCTGAAAATCCTATATTTGTACACGTTCTCCCTTGCTTTGCAGCTTAGTAATGGAAAAATCCAACACTTAAAAAGAAACCTGTGAAGACCATTAGTCCAACAGCTTGAGACGCATCCTCTGTGAAATCTGAGGCCAGGAGTGTTTAGCTGTTCTGCCATTCTGCTTGCTTTGAGCAGTCTTGAATGCTTTATAATAAACATATAGCTGCATTCATAAGCTTCTAGTCTCAAACTATCCATTAGCCACTAAGCAATTTGTACTGGGAACAATAAAAAAAAAAATCTAACTAGCAGTAACTTTGTAGTTAAGACTGCAGGTGGGTTTTTTTTGTTTTTTTCCCCTAAGTTCATGTTTTAAAGCCCCTAATACTTGCAAATAAATTCCTTTTCTGCCTGAAACCTTTATGCCCAGTGTACCATAGGCATAAATATACCTATACATTAAATGTATTACATTTTTGTGGGTTGCATGCACTTTTGTCTTTGTATACAATCTCAGCCATAATGTTACATTAACATATGATTTCACAGTTAATGAAAATAAATCTTAGATGGTAAATTCTGCTTAGGTAATTGGAAAGTATTTTTTCAAAGAAAAATGACATATCTTAACTAGTGTGATTAGTGCTCCGGCTACTCTAAGAGAAGGCAAGGGGAGGAGAAGAAGACTGCAGGTGCTCCACAGAGCAATTTAGAGAGTCACCTGACCAGAAGGGGGCTGGACTAGCAGGATATAAACCCAGGGCCTGAGCTGGTCTGGCAGTCTAGCTCTGAGAGCCACAGAGAGAGGAACTCCTGGTTAACACCTGAGCTGGGGTAAGCAATTCTGGAGGATTGAAGAAAGGACTAAGGGGAAGAAGAGGTCCCAACAGGCCTGGGAGTCAAGAGCCTGAGATTACAGAATAGAGGGCCTGGAGCACAGCGGGAGAGAGCTTGAGCCCAGGAGGGGCTAAGTAGGCAGGGCCAGGAGCCTGTAGTCTGGCAGGGGCAGAGTTGGAAGTGTTGACACCAAAAGGGCCCAACTCCTATGTGGGGCAGAGAATGTAGGTCTGCACTGGGGTTGCCCAGTTGCTGGGCCTGAGGCCGGAGCCCAGGAGGGGCAAATGTAAGCAGGGCCAAAGAGCTTGGAGGTCTGTAGCCCAGGAGGGCTGAGTGTAAATGAGGCCAAGAAGCCTGAAGTTCTGACTGGCCCAGAAGCGAAGCCAGGGCCCAGGGGTAGGAGGGCCACAACTGGGGACTGTCAGGGCTACGGGAGCCCATGAGTCTCAACTGGCCTAAAAGTGGAGCCAGGGCCCAGAGAGAGGGGACAAAGACTGGGGAGCACAGCCAGAGATTGTGGGGTTCAGGCAAGGAGCCTGTAGCTCAGGATGGTTAAGAACTGGGGCTGGGAGCCCAAAGCCCAGTAGGGGTATGTGTCAGCAGGGCCAGAGGGTCCATACCCTGAGAAAGGTGTTAGGAACAGCAGAGAGAGAGAGGAAAGGAATGAGTAATACCCGTGAGGCATGGATGTGGATATTGGGAAGGATGAAGTCCATGTAATTAGCCCTTAAGGTGATGAGCAGCAAGTGCTCGTAAGGAGATCTGACTTGGAAAACTCTGGGGCAGCCTCTGTTTTCTTAAAGTATCTTTTCATCAAGGCATGGCGAGTGAGGAGGAGGGAAGATGCCCAAAGAGAGCCAGGTTGACAAGGGCTGAGGGGGCTCCTGGGGCATCACAGCCACCCGTGGAGCTGAACACAGAACATCCCTGATGCTGTTATATCTAACTTTGGCCCAAAGGTGTTTTCTTTTGTACTTTGTGGAAAGCTTGAAGTAAGGTTCTGGAGTTCTATACGTTCTGTATAGAGCTACCAGCATTCCTTTAGCTCAATATTCTGCTGCAATCGATCAGTGGTATTAAGGTAGACCAGAAGTTGGGCTTCTTCCTAGCTATTGTGCTCTACATCTATATGCTGTTCTATTCAGTTACATTGCAGTTCCTAACTCTTGTCAAATCTAGGAGCTTTTTGTTTAGAAAGGGCCAAGAGTCCTTGTGTAGGTACCTGGTCAGATTTTGTTACGAGTCAAAATTGAAGCATGTTGGATTTTTCAGACTGGTTCTCTCTACTTTTTCATTAAAAGGAAAAAAAAAATGATTTTTCTGTATCCTATTTGCAGTATCAAAAGTACTGCACAGAAAAAAATAGTTCACTTCAGAAACTCAGGGATATACTCACTACTTATTTCCAAGTGAAATACGTGGAGGCAAGAAGGACAGTTTCATAGATTCATAGATTTCATAGACATCAGGGCTGGAAGGGACCTCGGAAGATCATTGAGTCCAGCCCCCCGCCCAAAGGGCAGGAAGTCAGCTGGGGTCATAGGATCCCAGCAAGATAAGCATCCAGTACAAGGAGTATACAGTTCAGAAAATATATAAGACCATGATATTTAGTTTATCCAAATATCTGATTCATATGCCATTGTCCCCAAAAGTGGTTCAGAGCAACTTACAGTGAAATCAAGAGAAATTATAAAAACTGATAGAATATTAAAATGAAATGGTAAATAGTAAAATACCTCCCTGAGCAGCAGCCCCAATCTTAACATATCCATGAAAAATGGTTTAAAGTATTCGATCAAGTGCGAATGAAGACTTTTCTCCCTTCAAATGCTCATAAGGGTGCTAATGAAAGTCAGGTACGTGCATATGTAGAAAATACATTGGCAGGTAGACATATGCAACTCCTTTGTGCTGTTGTGCAACTTTTGTTTTGTTAGAATGGCCATTGATTGTTCCTGTTTGCTTTGATCCATTATTAAAAGATAGGGCCAGATCAAATTTGCAGGCACAAACTTTAAGAAAAAGTAGAATTGACTGTTTGAAAGATGAATGTCATAGATAAGTGATCCAGGTTGTAGGCTTATTGAGAGGCAAAAAGGAATCAGGACTCATGGTAGAGGTGATATTTTTTTATTAGACCAGCTAGATTTTTTGCAAAAAAAAAAACAAAAAACTTTTTAATTGCAAGCTTTTGGGCACAAAACACCCTTTTTCAGGCATAGGAGAAATTCCTATGCCTGAAGAAAGGTGTTTTGTGCCTGAAAGTTTTCAATTAGAGAATTTTTTACCAAAAAAAAAAAAAAAAAATTTAGTTGGTCTAATAAAAGATATCACCTCTACCACAAGTACAGATAAGTGAAACACTTAAAAATGCCTTGGCCACTTTGCTCCTTGAATGCTTTCCATAATGTAACGCCCAACCTCAGAATTGAAATTCAGTGTTCTATAGTGATTGCATATACAGATGAATTTGCTGGAATGTGTGATTTGTGGCAAATATGTAAATTGGCTGGTCTCTAAAACTACAAGGAAGCTAAATGGGGCGAACCCCCCGCTCTTAATACAACAGTATTGTGGCTGAATGTTTACATGCTGAAAAGTCAGTAGCAATCCTGCTCTGTTGAACATTGGTAGATACTTCTGTTACTGCCTGGGGCCAATTTTAGTGTATTAATAGCTTGTGTCTGTGCAGGCTGGCAGAATAATGGTCAATGTGGGAAGCAACTGCATATGTCCTCGTTTCATCAGTTTTGTCATTGTGACATCACTGATAAGCCAATCTCACTACTTAGCAAGTGGTGGTTTCCTATAGCAGCAACAGAGGACTCTGTTGCAGCCCCACCAATATACTAAATTTTTGTGGGTTACGTGCACTTCTGTCTTTGTATATAATCTCAGCATATAATGTTACATTAACATATGATTTCACATTTAATTAAAAAAGAGTCTAAGTGAATTCTGCTTAGGTAATTGGAAAGTATTTTTTCAAAGAAAAATTACGTATCTTAACTATGTGAGGAAATTTTAAAGAGCAGCCTTTCTTTTTTTTAAGAACCTGTAAATTAGTGGCTTTATTTAAAACCATCCTTTGCAAGTGCTCCTAGGCACACACCACTTGGGAATCACTGGATTAATGTACATTGCTTTTCTTATGGATACCTGAGTTCAAGCTTGATTAGCCTCCAAGTGAGTGGGGAAAAAAAAATCTATCTATTTATCTTAAAACGCAGGATGGATGAGTTTGTGATCACATTTTGGCAACTCTGGAACTGTAAAGGGAATCTGGAATACTGAATGGTGGTACCTCACTAGTTATTCTTCTCACTCATGCCATCAATCTTAATTTATAAACACTGAAATTTCCACGGTTTTGTTTTTAAAGTATCTAACAATAACATAACTCAGAAGAACATTTCCATAAGCAGTGAGAACCAAAAGAAATGCTGTTCCAAGCATCATATTTCTGGCATGCTTATCTGTTTAAACAGTGTGCCACTGCTGCTTTAATAGTGTACTGTTAAATACACAGCTCTGGTCATCTGTGGTGTTTAATTTTGTGGAATTCTCAAATGTCTATTATTCTTATGCTTTAGATAACCAACATACCAAACAAATGTTTTCTTTAACTCTAGTAGACGATTCGCAGTTTCCTTCAAAATCAGCGTACATGCCAAGTTTCCTGAACTGAAGCTATAAACAGTCACTTACACTTGAAGTGTCCCATTCTCCCCCCCCCCCATCCTGGAGTCCTATTGAGCTTGGATTGTTGCATCAAAATTCCTAAACTGTAGAAGATGACTATATAATATGCACCATAATGATGTAACTGAAATGTGTTAGGAGCTTGGCATCTATATGCTAATTCAGAGCTGTCCAACAGGTAGCCTGTAGACTGCCACCAGTGCTTTCCTACTGTTACATGGGTATGGGGGAGGGGAGGGCCGTGGCGGGTAGGGGCATGCGATAAGGGGGTGAGGGGTTGCATGCTGCTGGTAGAGCCTTAGGGGCAGGGGGCCACTAGTGCTTCTTGCATGACCGGGTGTGGGGGACCATGGAGTGCCAGTGCTGCCTGTGTGGCAGGGGGTGAGAGTCATGTGCTACTGGCACTATCTGTGTGGTTGGGGAGATCCTTCAATGGGACTGTCCCTACAGTGTGCATCTTAGGGGCCATACACCAGTGCCATGTGAGACCCTTGGCCATGCTGAAGTTGGACAGTCCTGCTCTAATATGTGCTACGAAACAGCTTTGAACTGTGGCCTGTGATATATCAATTTGCTTTTCTGTTTATCTACTTACAAAATAAATTTACTACAGTAGTGTAGAAATTTAGGTACTTCTGGTAGAACAGTTTGGAGATAGCACATAAAATTTCATATTTTTCTATAGATTCCATTTGCAAACTATTCAATAAGTCTCAAACTCTGGAGCTCTCAAACTAGTCGGCTCAAGGATACAGAGATGGGATTAAATGATCTTCGGACAAATTGATTTTATTTTAATGGAACTGGGTAGACTTGATTGACTTTTTATCTCTTTTGGACAAAATAAGTATGCCAAATGCTTCCTGTGGTCTTTGCATCTCTATAGAATATGAAGAAATGTATTACAGTATTTATTGATATACCTTGCAAACAGAAGTATCATTATTAATGCTATGTAACACTGCATCTCTTAATTACAAAAGAAAGGTACATGTAGTCAGGTCACAAAATAATGCATAGCTGAAATATCTCAAGGATAGGCTTGCAGGATCAAATTACACCAGGCAATGTCAATAGCTTCTGGGAGGAGTTTGGTACACTTCTAAAATGTGATGTTAAGGAGCTTCCTTTTGCATACTTGGTATATAATAGGGCTGGGCTCTGAAGTTATGCATGTTAGAGAAAAAATTCTGCCTGAGCTACAAAGGAATCTTGTACGTACTTACTAAGGCATGTTTTAAGCCTTTTGTGTAATAGCAACTTTTTTTTTAAAGCGTGTTCAGACGAAGTAAGTTAAATTGCAAATTGAAAAGGGCATCTTTATGATGGTGGGAAAACTTTTGCTTTGGTGAATATTGATCTTAATCAAAGGAGATGTTAATTTAAAATAAATGTATTTTAGCTCTTTACCAAAAGATATGGATGAGAAAACAGATGAAGAACAACCTTTGACTGCATGTAACCAGTACCCGAAAGAGGCAGTAAGGAAACGCCAGAATTCTAGTAGAAGCTCCAGAGGTAGCGACTCCTCTAGGACGTCCAGGAAAAGCTTCAGGCTGGATTACAGGCTAGAAGAAGATGTAACTAAATCAAAGAGAGGCAAAGATGGGAAGTTTGTCAACCCATGGCCAACATGGAAAGCACCATCGCTGCCAAATATTTTGAAGTGGGCCCTCATGGAAAAAAATAACAGCAATATCCCATGTTCCAAACCGGTAAATTTTTGCATGTTTACTTTTCTGGGGGGTAGGACCTAATCCTGTGAAGCACTGAGAGCTTTCAACAGGCTTCTTCTAAATAGGAAATTTTCATATGCTTGTTAGGTCCCTTCTGGAGACTTTCACCAGTGTTACTTTTCCCCCCTGACTTTAAATAAAGCTTCTTATGCCTTTCAAAAATCAAGTTAGCCATTTCTATCTCTTAATGTGAAGTCTTTGACTCCATGTCCATCTGTAATTTAGAATATATTAATCTAGTCCATTCTGTGTAGAACTGTGGACTTCTAATGGAAATGCTAAGAAGTGATGTATGTATTCAATTTGTGCTTGAATTCACATGATTATGCTATATAAAGATATAATAAAAGACATCCTGATCAAAAAGGAGTGGCTGAGTCAGAAGATAAGTCTTTTCAGCATCTCAGACAACCATGAGAGTTTATACTTCAGAGTTTGAAATGGTAGCAGAGACTTTTATCTCCTCTAATCACTGTAGGAATTAATTATGATTTTTTTTTTTCAAGTGTGAATGCAACTACTTGACAAGAAAACAAGCCTAAACATCCCTCTTTAGTGATGCTGGCTGAGGGAGTTGTTAGATCAGTTTAAGGCAATAAGACTTGGCTGCCTATTTAAGGAAATAGAAAGCTTCTGTGCAGTTGGCCTGTAACAACATTTTGAGCTGCTTTCCCTAGGATCAAATAATGTACATACTCTTTGCCATTAACAGAATATCTCATGCATGTACCCAGGGCACACTTCAGATTTGCTGGCTCTGCTTTTGGATACCACGTCTGTACCTTGCAGTAGCAGCAGCTAAGTCTTGTGCCTTAGATTGTTTGTTTGCAAGCCCTTTGCCTTCTGGTTACATGGTGATTTGGGTTCTTTGCAGGCTGGATCCATCCTGGGCCATGAGAGCTACCACAGTGGCAGTGGCTGCACCCTGAGAAGAATCTGTAACAGGGAGCCAGGGGCTCCTGTTATTTGCAGAGAGAAGCTTCTTCAGAGATGTCCTGAGATAGGGGTAAAACAGCCAATTTTGGGCTAGCTGCAGGGGAGTAGGTAGCCAGGGCCCATAGGCTACAAGTTTCCATTGAAGGGCTAGCTGCTTAGCAATAGGGCAGTGCCCTGTTTAGGCAGTGAGGCTACTGTAGCAGCATCCAGAGGAATAGCAACAAGTTGCCCTGGAGACTGTGGGGGGGATGTACACCTGCAGTGCGTCAAGGGAGCACCTGATAAGAAGGGGAGGAGCCAGGGGATATAAGCATGGGCCCCTGAGGTAGATTGGCTGTGTGGCCCTGAACTTGGAAGGGAAAGGAGTTCCTGCCAGCTCAGGCATGCCAGCTACACTCAGGACTGAGAGAGCCAGAGTGGGGAGGTGGCTGGGCAGCAATATGATGTCCCAGAGGGAGAGACTTTGACTTTGAAGTACTTGCTTGTATTTTTTATTTATTTATTTATTTTTTTTGTGTTCTACTTTATATTGGAGGACCGGATGTGGTTGATGGGGTAGATTGGAGGCCACAGGGGTGCTGCAGAGGCATCCAGTATAGAGCTCTTTCATGGCCTGTGATCCAGTGGGCTGTCTGGGGCAGAAGCCCAAAACATTTTAGAGGGCTGAGCCAAACTGAGGACAGCCTTGCCCTGGGTCAGGAACACAAAGCCCAGGATAAGGTCGAGGACCCAGAGATGCAGAGAGGGTTGAGGCTGAGAGCTGTGTCCAGACCAGCGGGACAGTGCTGAAGGCCTGCAGCCAGAGGGAAGGGGTGGGGGCTAAAGCACAATCAAACACAAATTGAATACATGCATCACTTCCTACAGTTTCTTTTAAAAGTTATACACAGAATGGACTAGGTTAATATATTCTAAATTACGGATGGACATGGAGTCAAAGACTTCACATTAAGAGGTAGAAATGGTTAACTTGATTTTTTTTTGAAAGGCATAGGAAGCATTACTTAAAATCAGAAGGGAAAATAATGCTGAAAATCTCTAGAAGTAGGGCCTGAGAAAACAAATAGAGCGAGAACAAACCTCTAGGCTCCAAGGGCAGCCTCTTCATTACCTTTTGACATTAAGGCAGGGCAGGAAAAGCAGCAGGGTAAGACCCTGGAAGGCTGGAGCAGGAGCTGGGCAGGATCATGGCGGCCACTAGAGGGTATAGCGGCAACCCTCAGGCACCATCCTATTACAGGATCTCATAGTATTGCAGGGTGCTGTAGCACCGTTGCTGAAAGTCACTGGTCTACAACGTGATGAGAGAAATCTCAGTTCATGTAAAATTCAAGTCGATGATTCCATTCTTCCTTTGGTGCTGCTTAGTTCTAGCCCAGTGTGTCTCAACCTGAAGGTTTTCCAGGAGATGTGAGGAGATGCATGAGGTGTAAAGAGATAAGCAGATAAGCTAAGTAGGTAAACGTAGGTCAGCCTGGACAACCCTGCACTCCCACTGTCCAGCCCTTCTACAATGGGATAAGTATATAAATTAGTTTTTGAAACTGGGTGCCACTCAATTTACAAAAGTTATGGAGGGGTACTTCAAATCCAGTGAAGGGTGCTTCAAGTCCAAAAAAGTTGAGAACCACCGTTCTAGCCTGTCTTTAATACAGACTACAGCATCCTCTACTGTTCACTTTAACCCCCTAATTTAAGGACCTGCCCAGTGAATGATATTCTTAACTGGTCTGTCGTATCTATTTAGTCAGTGTTTTGTACATGGAACTATATGACACTCGGGACACAGGCTGAATTTTTTAACAATGCAGTATATTGTTAGATCTTTTTAAGATCTAAGCAGTATTTATCCTTAACTAGGAATCTAGAATGTAGGCTTTCTGCATTACTTCCTGGTGTTGTTAATTTTTCTAAATGGCACAAAGATGATTGCCATGCTGTAGTAGTAGTAACAATAATAACATAAAGAGTTTGCTCTTCTATGTTGAGCTAGCAATTCATTTCCTCCATCTTCCAAATGCAGAATGAAAGGCAAATGGGATTTCATATTGGTTCAGCAAGATGCATATTGTCTTTCTCTAGGTGTCTAGATCCAGAGCTCATTTGCCTTTAGTTTCATATTTTGGACATCTGCCACCACTCTTGCCTGATGGTTATGTTTATGACAACATAGAACAAGTGTGATAATACTAAAGTAAGATAAGGGTACTATAAAATTATTTTATTCATCACACTGTTTACCCTATTGTGCACTTTTGAAGGATTTTATGCAAAATAGATTACAAGCAGAAGTTGTACAGTGTTTCTGAGACTTTCCACAGGAAGATTTATGGATCTAGAATAGAATATCTGGTTCAAAAGAGAGACTGAGAATAGCTCCATCAGTGGGACACCTAGCAGCATAATGTTTCTTATAAGTATTTCAGCTTATTCCTACTAACATGTGGGAAAGGTTTCATTTAGATCCGTAAGTTATTGCTCCAAGATTTAACCCAACGGCCAAAGTCTACTAGATATTAGTAATAGTACCTATATTCTATTCCAAAGAAGTAGGGGCAAGGTGTGAGAATTTTTGTTAAGAATTCTGTTTTTTCATGGAAGAGTACTATTCAACATTTTCAATACAAGCCTGTATATCTTTGAATTGTTACAGGTTCCTTTTCACTGATAAATCGTCAAGTCCATTTCTCTTGCGCTCTCAAACATGTCCAGGGTACCTGCTTGTGCTTCCACTCTGGTTTCCTAGAAATGTAAACTAAACGCAAGCCTTGAGTTTTGTGAGTAGTATGTTGAGGAGAGTTTTTTGTTCCTTATCTCAGTGCACTTTGCTTTCTGATTATGTGTTGTTCTTCTGTTAGGAACTTGATAAAGAGCTTCCAGTATTAAAACCTTACTTCATTCAAAACCCTGAACAAGTTGGGAAGACTGGAACAGGCATGCGAGTCACATGGTTGGGACATGCGTCAGTTATGGTGGAGATGGATGAACTTGTGTTTCTTACCGACCCAATCTTCAGCCAGCGGGCTTCCCCGACGCAGTTTGTGGGTCCAAAGCGTTTCCGAGGACCTCCATGTACAGTAGATCAACTACCCAAAATAGACGCAGTGATGATCAGCCATACCCACTATGACCATTTGGACTACAATACTGTAGTGAGTTTAAATGAGCGCTTTGGCAGTGAACTGCGATGGTTTGTGCCCCTTGGTCTTTTAGACTGGATGCAGAAATGTGGCTGTGAGAATGTGATTGAGCTGGACTGGTGGGAAGAGAACTGTGTCCCTGGTCATGATGCAGTTACCTTTGTTTTCACCCCTTCGCAACACTGGTGCAAGAGGACAGCAACAGATGACAACAAGACTCTTTGGGGCAGCTGGTCTGTCTTGGGGCCCTGGAATAGGTTTTTCTTTGCAGGAGATACTGGTTACTGTGTAGCTTTTGAACAGATAGGGAAACGGTTTGGACCCTTTGATCTTGCTGCCATTCCCATTGGAGCCTATGAGCCAAGGTATGTGCATTTCATGTTGCTTGATTTGCATAGTCTGCATATACTGATTTCGGAACCACTTTTGTCCTGTAAATGGTTTTTTTTTTTTTTGTTTTTGTTTTTTAATGACTTTACAAAGTACAGAAAGTGTAAATGCAGTTATCTAAATTTTATAGCACGATATAAGGCACAAGAGGGCTTTAAGGATTGAGGAAGCATTGTGGGGGGGCACAAGGCAAAAAAGATGAGGTTATCTTAAATTTATCTTAAAGTTTCTTACATTTAGCGGGTTTTACTTTTTATAACTTTACAGTCGGGAGCTATTTTCTGTGATTAGAAAGTAGGGCCAGAAAAGATGACTAGCACCATCCAGGCTGAAATCCCTTTTCATACATGTACCCAGTGTTTCAGAATGGCAAGCATAATTTTACTTACCAATTTAGTTTTCCCTGCTGCGGTCTCCACATGGTTTTGCAATATCATCTAAAGTGAGAGATGACTCCTTGATGCTTGAAAGTTCTGTTTGTCTAGGCATCATGCTTATGGCATGGTATCTAAGCTCTGAGATTGTCTTGACAGCTCTTGAGAGAGAGGTGTTTAAAATATCAGAAGTGAAGTGCATGCAAGCTGGGGAAGCAAGAGCAGAATCAGTATGATAAAGGTTTGGTATTTCTTATGAACTACCAGGTTAAGAAATTCTAGCTAAGGTTCCCGCCGACACGCAACGTGTATATGTCTACCTTCCACTTTCTTTTTCCCTTCCTTAAGTAACTTTAATTCTCACTTACCCCTAGGCTAGTAGTAATTTTGATCCAGTCTCAGGAATAATAGCAGCAAATTGTAAATATCTGACTAATGTAACTTTGTGCCTCATCTGAAGATCATATCTCACTTGAAAGATTACATCTCAAGCATGGGTGTGCTGAGTTAATTCAGCATTAACTCCGAAGGAACAGTGCTGTTTACTGAAGCATGCTTCTTTTGGTGCATCTGTGTTGGCAATGGTTGTGGTACTGTGAACTTACTTCGTAACATGGCTCACAAATGCTTAAGCTCAAGATAGTGACAAAACTTTCCTCCTGTATCAAGAATACTGATCAGAAGAAGAATCCCTTTTGAAAAGCCAACGGAGGGGAGTAAATGTGCTATATATACAGCTTCTAGCTTGGGGATGGGCAACTATGTTGACTGAAGGGCCACTTAATATGTTTTGGTGAGCTGTTGGACCACATGCACACTATTTCAGAAGATATAATTTTAACAAATGATAGATAAACGAATCCTATACTAAAAATCAAACACTTGCTAGAACATATTTTAATTGCATTTCAAAAAAATATTTTTTTGCCCTGATTTGTTTGAGTAGCACATACAGAGGCTATTGCATAATAGCTCAAAACAAAGTCTGTCTTTGGTATATTGGGCATGTGGGAAGAGGTGTGGAAGAGGTTGTTCAGAATGTAATATGCCGTTTTGATCAAGTGAGGATATTTTAAGACCTCTTACCAGTTACAAAGAAGAGATACTGCATTTAATAGGCTATGCAAAAAACTTGTTTTATTTTTCTAGGTGGTTTATGAAATATCAGCATGTGGATCCTGAAGAAGCAGTAAGGATTCATATTGATGTTCAAGCAAAGAAGTCTATAGCGATTCATTGGGGAACATTTGCTTTAGCAAATGAGGTGAGTTTGGGACAGTGGAAAATGGAATACAAATATATGTTCCAGTTTCCTGAGCACAAAAACAATAAAAGATCTTAATTAGTAGGGGTGCACCAATAAACGATTTTTTGGGCCGATACCAGTGGCCAATTACTAACTACACGTATTGGCCGATACCAGTCTGATTGCCGATATGCAGCCTGGCATCTTGGAGAGCAGTGTCCAGCTGGTAAGTCTGGGATGAAGGGGCAGGGGGGCACAGATCGAGGCCACTGTGGTGAGGGAGGGAGTGGGGCTGGGGCAGGCGCTGCCCAGTCGGGGCAGGGCACAGGACAGAGCTGCAGCTCATTCAGGAGGGTGGCTTCCACCAGTGTGTGCACCTCCAGGGGAGGCATGGGGGGGCACGTTCCCCCCCTCAGATCTGTGTGCGGGGCAAGGGCAGGCTGCTGTGGTGTGTGCAGGGCTGGGGCTGCAGTGAGCCTTTCCTGGCAGGGGGGCTGGGCCAGGGCTGAGTTCAGGGCAGGTGGAGTGGGTGGCAGCAGTGCTGGGTGGTGGGCTATGGAAAATTTTTGGGATGCCTGGAGCTCCCCACCCCCCTGGTGCCCTGAGCACAGGCCCAGCCAAGCCCCTCTGCTGGAAAGCGCCTGGTGCAGCCCCAGCCCCGAGTGCGCAGCAGCAGCCCACTCTCACCCTGCACACAGATCTGGGAGGCACGTGTCATCCGTGCCTCCCCCAGGGTTGCATGCAGTGGTGGGAGCCACTCATCACACCCCCTAGACGAGCCATGGCTCTGTCCTGCACCCAGGTCTGCCCTGGCTGTGCAGTGCCTGCCCCTGTCCCGCTCCCTCCCTCACCATGGCCAGGGCAGCCTCAAGCTGGCCCTTGTCCCACATATTTACCTGCCAGACACTGCACTCCCAGTTGCGTACGTGTACACTGAGCTTCCCAGCAACATTATAGCCCACATCAGCCAAAAAGGCCGATTGCCAAGAATGTCAATTTTCCTTTTATTGGTGCCGATACGATATGCACCTTTTGTATCAGCACACCTCTATTTCTTGGACAATAAAAAACATATCTATAAGTGTATTAACTCTTAAGACTTTTTTTTTTTTTTTTTAAACTATGAATGTGTAATATTATAGCTCAGAAGTACATCTTAGTTTAGCTTTGTCTTGTCATACATAAACTAAATGTCATGTATTTTGGATAACACTAAATTCTACACTTTGGAATATCGATTTCCTTTCCTTTCCCCTCCCCAGCATTTTATGATTTAGATTAAAATTATGTTCTTGAAGTTGTTTCTTTTAGCTGGTACACTTCAGGATAAGAGGCAGTGGGAGTATGTCATTGTATTGAGAACTTCTTGTTTTAAGCAACAGATTTGGAATTTCTGTTTATTAGCCCTGTGAAAATGGCGCGCACAATCTTCCTGATCAGTAGAAAATCAATGTTGCATGTTGAAAAAAGAGTTCTTGTTATATCTATGGAGTTGTATTGGTGTCTGCTTGGCAGCCCTTTATGTAGGAACTGACTAGAGGCTGATCATATTGGTAAATAAGTCTCATGACAGATGAGCTGCTAGAAGTAAGAGTAGAAAGAGAAAATTAGACATCTAGTCCAAGTGCTCACATTCTGCAGCCATACTTTGAATCAGTAGTCTTTTGGGCCATACCCAGCGGGACAAAGGAGAACTCTCAAATTTAGAGCAAAATTGACACAGGCCATGAATTCATAGAATCATAGAAAATTAGGGTTGGAAGGGACCTCAGGAGGTCATCTAGTCCAACCCCCTGCTCAAAGCAGGACCATCCCCAACTATTTTATCCCAACCAAAGCTTTGTCTAGCTGGGTTTTGAAAACCTCCAAGGATGGAGCTTCCACCACCTCTCTGGGTAACCTGTTTTGGCATTTTACTACCCTCCTAGTGAGAAAAGTCTTCCTAATATCTAACCTAAACTTCCCTTGCTACAACTTGAGACCATTGCTCCTTGTTGGATCATCTGCCACCACTGAGAATAGTCTGGCTCCATCTTTCAAACCCCACTGCAGGTAGTTGAAGACTGCTATTAAGTCTCCTCTTCTCTAGACTAAATAAGCCCAGATCCCCCAGTCTTTCCTCATAAGTCATGTCCCCCAGCCCCCTCAACACTTTTGTCGCCCCCCACTGGACTCTCCAAGTTGTCCACATCCTTTGTAGTGGGGCCCCCAAAACTGAACACAGTACTCCAGATGTGGCTTAACCAGTGCTGAATAGAGGGGAATAATCACTTCCCTTGACCTATTGGCAATACTCCTACCCATGCAGCCAGGTTGCTGTTAGCCTTCTTGGCAACTAGGGCACACTGCTGGCTCATTCAGCTTATTGTCCACTGTAACCCCCGGTCCTTCTCTGCAGAGCTGCTGCCCAGCCAGTCAACCCCCAGCCTGTCCTTGTGTGTGGGACTGTTCCGTCCTAAGTGTAGGACTTTACATTTGTCCTTGTTGAACCTCATGAGATTCCTTTTGGCCCAGTCCTCCAATTTGTCTAGGTCACTCTGAATCCTAGCCCTACCCTCCAGTGTATCTACTACTCCCCAGCTTGGTATCATCTGCAGACATGCTGAGGGTGCACTCCATGCCATCTTCCAGGTTGTTCATGAAGAAAGAGAACAAAACCAGACCCAGGACCGACCCCTGGAGCACTCCACTTGATACCAGCTGCCAACTAGGCATTGAGCCATTGATTACTACCCTCTGAGCCCAATGCTCCAGCCAGTTTTTCTGTCTACCGTACAGTCCATTCATCCAGCCCATATTTCCTCAGCTTGCCTGTGAGAATGTTGTGGGAGACCATATCAAATGTTAAAATCAAGGTATACCATGTTCACTGGTCTCCCCGTGTCCACAGATGCAGTCACCTTATTATAAAATGCAGTCAGATTGGTCAGGCATGACTTGCCCCTGGTAAATCCATGCTGACTTCCTAATCACCCTTTTCTTCTCCAAGTGCTTAGAAATGGATTCCTTGAGGATCTGCTCCATGATCTTTCCACGGACTGAGGTGAAGCTGACTAGTCTGTAGTTCTCTGGATCATCCATTTTCTGTTTCTTAAATATGGGCACTATGTTTGATCTTTTCCAATCATTTGGGACCTCTCCTGATCACCATGAGTTTTCAAAGATGATGGCTAATGGCTGGGCAATCACATTAGCCAACTCCCTCCGCACCCTTGGATGCATCCCATCCAGCCCCGTGGACTTGTACACATCTAGCTTTTCTAAGTATTCTGTAACCTGTTCTTTCACCACTGAGGGCCACTCACCTCCTCCCCAAACTGTGCTGCCCACTACAGTAGTCTGGGAGCTGCCCTTGCCTGTGAAGACGGAGGCAAAAAAGACATTGAACACTTCAGCCTTTTCTGCATCCTCTGTCACAAGGTTGCCTTCCCCATTCAGTAAGGGACTCGTACCTTCCCTGATACTCTTCTTGCTACCAACATACTTGCAGAAACCCTTCTTGTTACCCTTCATGTCCCTTGCTAGCTGCCTTCCTGACTTCATCCCTACATGCCTGAGCAATGCTCTCATTCTTCCCTAGTTATTTCTTCAAGTTTCCACTTATTATAAGCTCCCTTTTGTGATTTATGTTACTGAAGAGTTTCCCTGCTAAGCCAAGCTGGTTTTCTGCCATGCTTGCTAGTTTTTCCTGTGTATCAGGATGGTTTGTTCCTGCACTCTCAGTACGGCTTCTTTCAAGTACAGCCAGCTCTCCTGTACTCCTCTCCCCCTCAGTCTGGCTTCCCAGGGGATCCTGCCCATGAGTTCCCTGAGGAAGTCAGAATCTGCTTTTATGAAGTCTGGGGTCCTTACTCTGCTGCTTTCCATCCTTCCTTTCCTCAGGATCCTGAGCTCAATTATCTCATGGTCACTGCTGCCCAAGTTGCCATCCAGTACTACGTTCCTCACCAATTCTGTTTGTGAGCAGCAGGTCAAGAAGAGCATGGCCCCTAGTTGGCCGCTCCAGCACTTGCACCAGGAAGTTGTCCCTGATAATCTCCAAAAATTTACAGCAGTGCACAGGCAATCCAGGATTGCCCTCTCAGCAGATGTCAGGGTGATTTGAAGTCCCCTATGAGAACGAGGGCCTGTGATCAGGAAACTTTGGCTAGCTGTTTGAAGAAAGCTTCATTTACCACTTCCTCCTGGTCTGGTGGTCTATAGCAGACCCCCACCATGACATTCTACAATTATTCTACATAATTCTACAAGTTTTTTGTTTTGTTTGGGGTTTTTTTGTTATGAGTTTCCTAAATTGGGAAGAAAACATTTCCTTAACACATCAGTATTTCAGAAATATATTAAATATACATTTTTAGATTGAATTATCAGTGTGAGAGTAACTGTTGAAATAGCTCTAGCTTTCAGGTTAGAGGGCTATCATGTAATAGGGGTAGTAATTTAGGTAAACACAATCAAGAACACCAAAAATGGGAATAAACATATGTAGCTAAACTTTGTTTTTATTGCTGTATCATTTGGAGATAGTGAGAATTTAGAGTGCCGTAAGTATACACAGTATTATACTAACCATGTAAAAGATACAATTAGCTCACTTAATCCTTTATAATGACCTGTATCGTTAATAGTTGGCTAACTTTTTTATGTATCATTTAATGATAATTAAGTTTCATGATGCTATTCTATATTTCTCAAGTTTTATAAACAAGTTAGTAATATATTATCTTGGCACTAACTAATGTAATAAAGGGAAAACTTGTTACAACACATAAATGTTTTTATTTTGAAACTAGTGGTCTGGTTGCTGAGTCACTGAAGATGTAACATAGTGCAAGCAGGGCATCTCGGACGCAACACTGCCTTGAATAGGTCATGCCACTAATAACTAAGATACTTTTTCCAGTATCCTGGATTCATGATAAATATTCTCTCAAGCCACTTCTTTATATAAGCTGAGGGAGGTTTTGTTTGCGTTGAAAACTAACGTTGCCTAGAAGAGCAGTGTACATAAAGCTTATATAATGCAGCAACTTCAGAGGAGACAGGATTGAGACCACAGTGCTTGTTGGAACAGTTGAAATCAACACCACAAAACGTGGGGCAGGGAAGAATGTTGTGTTTATAATGCCATGACAAGGAATGTATCTTATTGATGCATCTACTGAGTGATAACACAATGTCTTGTGTATCCCAGCCAGGATAGAAGCAAGTAATGACCAGGTCCTGCTTTCTTCAAGGGGTCTGATGCAATAAACTGAGGGAGTATGGATTTTACTAGATGCACATAGATTTACATAGCTAACTAGATGCACCTAGATGCATAGTTAACTAGGGAACGTTTTTGGTCAGACTTAACATCTGCTAGTGTGGTTTTAAGGGAGTATCTAAAAAAAATACCCAAGCAAAAAACACTAAACTTTATTGTTCACTTAAATTCTGACAAAACATAGTTTGGCTATGTTGTCAGTTATATCTAATAATGTGAACTAGTTGATGTAGAGCTGGAAAGCCATCTGTGAAACTGCTATTATCTAACAATGGAATTGTATCTTTGTGTTCCCTTTACCCTACCTCTCCAGTATTATTTGGATCCTCCAGCTAAACTGAGCGAAGCCCTTGAAAGGTATGGCTTGAAAACAGAAGATTTCTTTGTCTTGAACCATGGAGAGTCACGAGACTTGAATACAAATGATGATGGATTTGAATAATAAAAAACTGGCAATTCCTTGTGAGCCTTGCTTGATTTGAACTAGGAACTCAATTTAAAAGACTGATGGGTTGCAAAGTGTTTGTGTTTTGTTTTGGATTCTTTTTTTGGGGGGGGGGGGCGGTGTTTTTAATTTGGACTGAATTTTTAGATTCCTGGTTTGTGTTGATTTCACAGGTAAAACCTTGCATACCAGCTTGATTTATATGATTGCTAGTTAATTGTTTATGAACTGAATGGAACACTAATGAGTGATTTCAACACTAATTAATATAAAAGGTAGTTCTTGAAATGCCTTGTAATTTCAGCTCCTAGGAAATCACAGTTGCAGTGATGAATACATTGATTCTATTTTAATCCTTTCATTATCAGCTTATATATACCAGCAATAACAACCTCAGTACAGGACATTTTCTTTGGAAGTTATGACTGACTTGAGTTAATGATCTCCAGAGAACTGGTCTTCTCCTATTCAGTCATTAATCTTCAGGACGTGCTGTGAGCTTCATTGCTTAAATACATGGGTGTTAAGGGGTGGTGTCTTCCAACACAACTGTGTTGCTAAAGCACATATAAAGCAAAACGCTGATTTACAGAATGCCTGTATGTATTTATTGTGAACCAATGAAAATTTGAGTTTCAAACTGATATAAAGAAATGTGCCTTCGTAAAGAGAGAGATTACTTTAAGTTTGCATCATTAATGCATACAGCTATAACTGCTGGCCAGAATATCTGTACACTTTTATTGTTTTGTCAATATTTTTAAGATCTTATCATGGGCTTAAATACTTCTGTTGTTCTGAGACTTTTGCTTGTAAAATACAGTACATAAAACTGTAAAAACCCTTACATTTTGCTCCCTGTAAATGTCTTGATTCATACTTTTCTTTGCATATTTTTAAGAGGTGTGAGCTCTTAAGCACAGAGGTTTAGAAACTTTTTTTTTTTTTTTTTTGGAAGCCTGATGTTGGATTACAAAATTGTTCATTATTATACAACCTGGCTAACCCTGCCCGTTTCAAATTGCCATGCTAATTTCCAAAATAAAGCCTGTTGTTGCCAAATAAGTTGTTGTTTCCCTGTCACAATTCACTATGAAGAATCTTTTAACTTGGACAACTTTATTCTCATTTAACTGAAGAATAAGTCAGACTACTGGGCATAGACTTTACACTTTTGGAGTATATCACACTTCAAATGCACATACCTTGAAGATAGTTATGTTATAGCTTTTAGATAAATATCTTCTTGTCTGTAATTTGTAGCCACAGCCTTTGACAGTGCATTAAACCAGTTGGATATTTCACAGTAGGAAAAAGCTGAAGGAGTTTCTGAACCATTGGCAGTTGTTTGTTTGTTTTTTTAGAATTGTGGAGGGTGGGGTGGGGTGGGGTGGGGTGCTTCAAGAGAACTTGTTGAAGGATAAAGGACCTGCCTTTAAAAAAGGGTGGAAAGGAGGACCTGGGAATTCTAGACCAGTTAGCCTAATTATGACCCTTGGAAAGTTTCTGGAACAAATTATTAACTTACGCTGGAGGGTGAGGCTAGGATTCAGAGAGACCTCAACATATCGGAGGATTGGACCAAAAGATATCGCGTGAGGTTCGGTCAGGACAATCCCATGCACTGGTACAGGCTGGGGACTGACTGGCTAAGCAGCAACTCTGCAGAAAATGACCTGGAGGTTGTAGTGGACAAGAAGCTGAATATGAGCCAATGGTGTGCCTGTGTGAAGAAGGCTAACAGCACACTGGGCTGCATTAGTAGGAGCATTGCCAGCAGATTGAAGAAGTGATTATTTCCCCTCTATTCAGCACTGGTGAGGCCACATCTGGAGTACTGTGTCCAGTTTTGGGCCCCCCACTACAGAAAGGATGTGGACAAATTGGAGAGAGTCTAGCAGAGGGCAACTAAATGGGTTGGGGACTGGGGCACGTGAGTTGTGTGGAGAGGCTGAGGGAACTGGTCTTATTTAATCTGGAGAAGACTGAGAAGGAATTTAATAGCAACCTTCAACTACCTGAAGAGTGGTTCCAAATAGGGATGTAAATAATTCTTTAAAAGATTTGTTTAACCTCTAATTGGTAAACAATTAACCAATAACACAGCAGCTCTGACACAGCTGCTGCTGAGAACCAGTCCCAGCTTCTGAAGCTCTTTGACTGGAGGGAAGGGAGGAGCCAAGCCCACCCAGACAACACAGCCGGGATGAAACCCAGTGCTAGGAGGAAGGGAGCACCTGTGATTGAGCAGTTAATTGCTTAATTGATGAGTTATTAGGTTGTTCTTTGTTTTCCTCTTAGGCTATGGGTATTGGTCCCCTCTGCCCCTTCCTCATTCCTTCCTGGCTGGCTTCTGATTCTTGCTGGGGCACCTGGGGGCTTGTGGGGCTTCCCTTCCCCCTCTTCCTTGCCAGGTTGCGCTGGCGGGAGCTAAAGGATAACGTAAGCTAACCAGTTCTCACTGCACTTGTCAGTTGAATGATTAATTGTTTAACCTTTCACATTCCTGGTTTCAAAGAGGATGGTTTTCATGGTGAGGGAGAAAGAGCCCAGAGAGAATCCCAGGTGGGGGAAGACTGCCAGGGAGAAGCTGCAGGAGAGTTGGCCCAGGGACTATGAGGTGAGGGACAGAAGTTACACATCAACCAGTTTAAGTCATCAGAAACTGGTTTAAACCTGTAACCAAATAGAAGTCCAGTACACACAAACCAGTTTCAAAATGGCTGAAACTGGTTTAAGATAAACCTGGTTGAATGTAGTATCAGACTAACTGATTTAGGTCAAACCAGCTTATGTCCGAGACCCCTTCCTGGCTCAAATTAAATTAGAGTTCCCCAGCATTTTGCTGCCCTGGGCTGTGCTGTCTGCTCCAGAAAACAGGTCTGGCCCAGCCCCTCTGCTCCCTAGCTGGAGCAGTGAGGGCTGGCTCACTGCCCTCCCAGGCAAACCCCTGCTGGGGTCTGGGGCAAGGGAACGGGGTTAAGCTTCCTTTCTCCCACGTATGGAGCTGCCCTGCTCTGCTTACTTAGTGCTGGCTGCAACTGTGGACTACAAATCCTAAAGGTGCCTAGAAGCAGGAAGAGGAAGTAATGAGCAACCCTGCTGTTGTGAGTCTGCACTGCAAATCCCAGAGACTTCAGGGGCAGCAGGAAGAAGTGAACACGTAGCCCATGCTGGTTACATGCCAGAGAGCTGTGCTTTAGTGCCCCCCAGCTTCTGACTTGAGCCACTGCAGGCATATGGCTGTATTTTGAATCAAAAGTGAATGTCTGTTCATTTGCTTATTGGTTCAGTCTCTGCAGTTTAGACTAACCTGCAAAGACTGAATCAATTCAGCCTTGGGCTTTTGACCATCTGTACTTAGCCTGAGTGCTTACTGCAGAGCTAGGCAGACAAGGTTCTTTAGGTAAATGTGATATCTTTTATTAGATGAACTAAATAGTTGGAAAAAGTGTTCTTTGCAAGCTTTTGGGTACAAACACCCTTCTTTAGGTACTGGGAGAGTTTGTGGTGACTGAAGAAGGGTGTTTGTACCTGAAAGCTTGCAAAGAACACTTTTTCCAACTATTTAGTTAATCTAATAAAAGATATCACATTTACCTAAAGAACCTTGTCTGCCTAAGCCCATAGACCAACACAGCTACTGTTAACAACCCTAGTGCACAGCTAGTTGCTCTGCAATAGAACAATGCTTGTGTGAGCAATAGGAAGCCTGTTGCAGTGCTAGCTGCTCTTCAATAGGACTGTAGGCTGGAGCCCTCCAGGGGAAACAAGGCACTGCTACATATAGGCAGCCATGGAGACCAGTTGATAAGCTTAATTAGAGGGCACCTGTGGCCAGCTCTATGGAGTCACCTGATTGAAAACGGTCAGGGCCTGGGGGGAGAGATTTGCCAGGGCAGGCAGCTTGGCCCTGGAGGTTGAAGAGGGAAGAGATCTGAGGTGACATACCAATTGTGAGCATGCTGTTCCTAGAGACAGTAAATGAAAGGCTGAGGGATAGCAGTAGACTAAGGCCCATGACTGGGTGGGAGTTTGGGTATGTAGACAAGAGGCTAGAGGTTTAGTTATAGCCAAAGTGCTTACGTTTTTGGTTTTAGTTTTAGCTGGTGGTTTGGGTTGGGGAAGGTAGAGGTCCCAATAGTGCCTGGGGGCATAGGAGTGTCTTGAGCTCTGCTAGGGATGTTTCTCCAGTGGGATGTTTGTCACTGCAAAAGCCTCTCTGAGGGAAAATGCTGCCTCTTACCTTGCCAAGCTGCTTTCTGTGGCCTTTTTAAATAGGGAAGACATGGTCACTTGCTTCTTGCTCTGACTTTCAGCTTCTGCAACAGCCTTCTGCTTCACATGTGCCTTGCACTCTAAACGATGATCCACGCTGGTTTTTCACAACATATCCAAAGTTACGCTGCAGGAGGTATGAAAGAGTCTGCCTTCATCTATATGCAAGGTCCCTGCAGGACACTGTCTTATATGGTCCAGTGCTGAAACATATTTGGCTGTTTTAGAGGATTTCTTAGCATTTATTTCTGCAATTCCTTAAGCAGGAGTGTGTATGCTGCAGCAGCATGCCTGTGGGCACTTTAAAAGTTGGTGCCAAAACCCTCCTGCTTCCCTGGCTGGCCCCAGACTCGCCTACATCAGGGGCTCAGCCTCTTATTTGCTTCCTCCCATGCTTCAGGATGCCAGGCTTTCCTGCCCTCTTCTGTTCTTGTGCTCTTTTTTTGCTTACCTCCTTCCCCCCAGCAAACCCATGCTTTTCACAGAGCCTGCTTGAAAATGTGGTTTCTATGAATTGTGCCATCACAATTTCAGTAAGTCACTAGTCACAGTAGACCACAAACTGAATATATATCAACAGTGTGATGTTGCAAAAAAAAATAAAATTGTGTTTAAGACCTAGGAGGTAATTATTCCACTCCCCTCAGTGCTGGTGAGGCCTTAACTGATATAATGTGTGCAGTTTTTGGCATGCTGAAAAATGTCAGCAAACTAAAGAGAGTAATAAGAATAACAACATGACTGATGAGAGAAGCTTGAGGGAATTGGGTTTGTTTAGAGAAAACCGAGAGGAAAATACGAATGTCTTCAAATATTTAAAAGGCTGTTTGTAAAGGCTGTAAATCAGCTGCTCTCAATCAGTCTGGGAGTGGGACAAAAAGTAATCAGCTTAATTTGTGCAAAGATGATTAGTTTGCATACTAGAAAAAACTTCTGAACTGTGGTGAAATGCTAGAACAAGCTACAAGAGCTTCATTGCTGGTTTTAAAATCAGATTAGACATCTGTTAAGTCTGTTTTAGCTTTACATTTCTAAGACCATATTTTAAGTGTAAAAAATACAGCTGTGTGTGTGTTAGGCTGAAGTTAGGTAGAAGGCAGGGCAGAATGGCACCTTAAAGACCTAACTGATTCAGAGGCATGAGCTTTCATATGCATGTGGGGAATGTACACTATTTATAAAGCAGAGAGGGGAAGAGTTGCTCTAGCATCAAAAGAGCTTGGCAGGACAGTAGCAGTTTTGCTTGAAATGGTATTAACCACTAGCTCTGCTTCTACTTTGTCATTATTAATCAGTCACATCTATGCTTACAGGGAAAAAGCAATAACATGTTCAACCTATTGCTATTCATAAGGAGGTGGAGAGAATTTCTCAAAGTGAACAACTTACTATGAGATCATATCTTTTCCTGCAGACTAAAGGGTGCTGTTAACACGTTGCATTACAAAAGTTAATACCTGTGCACAATGATCCTGAAAAACTAGAAGGCAT